ACCACCACTATCATCAGCAGCATCATCGCCATCATCCGCAGCTTTCTCATCACCACTATCATCATCGTTTGCATCATCCCCCCCTCTTCCCTCTCCTACCCTCAGGTGGGCTGCTTCGTCTGGTACCCCAGCGGTTGCCCCAACCAGCCCTCGATGAAGTCCAACCCCACACAGGCAGTGCGCCCGCGGGGGCTGGAGGAGGGGCTGAAGTCCACAGCGGGGAGCTCGATTTCGGAAGAGAGGGCGGAGAGGAGGAGGGAGGAAGAAGAGGAGGAGGAGGAGGAGGAGGAGGAGGAGAAGGAGGAGGAGAGGGAGGAGGAGGAGAGGGGAGGAGGAGGAGGAGGAGGAGGAGGAGGAGGAGGAGGAGAGAAGGAGGAGGAGGAGGAGGAGGAGGAGGAGGAGGAGGAGGAGGAGGAGGAGGAGGAGGAGGAGGAGAGGGAGGAGGAGGATCCCTAAGGGCTTCGCCCCCTGCCGCCGGCCCCGTCTCTCGGAGAGGGGGGCGTGCACGAGCTGTGCCGTGATGCCCCCGGGCGCCGTCGCGGAGCGGCGTCGGAGCCCCGGCGCGGGGGCCACCGGAGAGCTGAGCGTGCCAAAAAATAGCATCGCAGATGTTGGCCTCGTGGGTCCCTCCTGGGGGTGCTCTTGGGGGCCTCTTGGGAGCACCTTGGGCGCCTCGGGGGTGCTCCTGGGTCCTCTTGGGGGGCCTCTCTGGGGCCTCTTGGGGGCCTCTCTGGGGCCTCCTGGGGGCCTCCTTGGGGCCTCTCTGGGGGTGCTCTTGGGTCCTCTCGGGGCCTCTTTGGGGCCTCTCTTGGGTCCCTCTTGGGGGTGCGATTGGGGGCCTCTCGGGAGCATCTTGTGCCTTCTCAGCCTTGGGCGCCTTGGAGCATTATCGGGCCGTCTCGGAGGCCTCTTGTACCGTCTTGGCGGCGTGTAATAGAGGATTGTGGCCTCGAAAGCGCGAATATTGCGTACTTAAAAGGAGAGTTGCTTCGGTGACGCGAAGAGAGCGTAATTTACAAGGGATCGTGGCTTCGGGGACGCAGCTGTTGCATAATTTGCCAGGGAGTATTGCCTCGGAGGCGCGAACAGGGTGCAACTCAAGGAATTCTAGTCT